ACTAACCTTTGACAAAGGCACCAAGGGTACACAATGGGGAAAGGATAGTTTTTTCAATAAATTATGTTAAAGAAATGGGATATCCACATACAAAAAAAAAAATTGTATCCCTGTTTTACTCCATTCACAATAATCAATTTAAAAGGGATTAAAGACTTAAACATAAAATTTAAAAGGGATTGAAGACTTAAACACAAGACTTAAGACTGTAAAATGCCTAAAGGAAACCTAGGTGAAAAGCTCCATAACATTCGTCTTGACAATAGTTTTTTGGATATAACATGAAAACACAGGCAACAAAAGTAAAAATAAATAAGTGGGATGACCTCAAACTAAAAAAGTTTCTGCACAACAGTGAAAACAATGAACAAAATGAAAAGGCAACCCATTGAATGGGGAGAAAATATCTGCAAACTGTATCTCTAATAAGGGGTTAAAATACAAAACATGGAAAAAATTCATAAAACTCAAGATCAGTAGACCATATAACATGTTTTAAAAATGCGCAAATGACCTGACAAGACATTTCTTTAAAGAAACATACAAAAGGCCATCAGGTATTAAATATATTATTAAAAATGGCCAATATCATTAATCATCAGGGAAATGTAAATCAAAAGCACAATGAGCTATCACCTCATAACTGTTAGGGTGACTAGGTCAAAAAATAAAAAGATAGCAAGCGTTGGCAAGAATGTGGATGTGCATGAAAATGAAAAGTAAATTAAATTCTACACATGTTTAATATGCAGATTGACTTTGAGGTCTTGACTTGGTTTGTATGTCAAATGGTAACATCTATTGTAGAGACAGGTGATAGTTTTTTAATATGGAGAGCTTAAAAATTGCATTTGCTTATTTGCTTACCCACTATTCCCTTATACATTGTTGGTAGGAATGTAAATTTGTACAGACATTGTGGAAAAACAGTATGGAAGTTCCTTAAACAGTTAAAAATAGAACTCCCAGATGATCCAGTAATCCCATTTCAGGATACATGTCCACAAGGAATTGAATCAGTATGTGGAAGAGATTTCTACATTTCCATATTATTGAAGCATTATTCACAATAGCCAAGATATGGAAATAACATAAATGTCTACTGATAAAACAACAGTTAACAAAAATATGATGTGTATATATATATATATATATATATGTACATACACACATAAACATGCACACATACACACACACACATGCAATAGAATATTATTTGGTCTTTACAAAAGTGAGGAGACCTTGCCAATTGTGACAACTTCAAACATGGATGAACCTAGAGGACACTACACTAAGTGAAATAAGCCAGATGCAGAAAGACAAATGCTGCATTACCTCACTTATATGTAGAATTTATAGAAGTTGAAATTATAGATGCAGAGAGTAGAATGGTGGCTGTGGATTGGAGGCTGGGGTACACGGGGACAGGTTGGCCAAAGGGAACAAACTTGCAATTATCATATGCATACATTTTGGAGACCTAATGTATAACATAGGTGACTATAGTTAATAACAATGTCTTGTGTATACACTTGAAATTTACTAGGAGAGTAGAACTCAAGTATTCTCACCACACACACAGAGGATAACTATGTGAAGTGATGGATATTCCAATTAGCTTGATTGTGGTGATTATTTCACAGTGTATACATACATCAAAACATTGTGGTGTACAACTTGAATATACACAATTTTTATTCATCAATTATACTTCAATGAAAAGCTTAAAAATACTATTTTGGCTATTTGAGGTTAAATAAAATATATATTAACATTTTAAAAAATACAAATGGTAGAAATATTTTTCTCTTTATTTTAGCATGAAAACAAAAAGTAAATTAAATTCTACACATGTTTAATATGCAATATGCAGATTGACTTTGAGGTCTTGACTTGGTTTGTATGTTATGGTAACATATATTGTAGAGACAGGTGACAGCTTTTTAATATGGAGAACTTAAAAATTGCATTTGCTCATTTGCTTACCCATTATTCCAAGGTATTGCGTTGCATGTGCCCTTAATAAAAAGGATGCACAGATTACCTGTAGTTTTATTTATTTTACCACAATATGGAAAAATAGTCTCAAAAAATCCTGCAAAAAAATCCCACAGCTTGAACATAGTAATAACAATGCCAAAAGGGACTGATGAGAAATAGCACAGTTACTTGAAATATGGTTTTAAGAGCCACTGTTCTTAAAGATAAATTTTGCTTCAAGTGTATAGTGAGCCTTGAGATATTAGCTAACTAGAGTATAAAACCATTACAATTAGAAAGACATTTAACATCTAAGTATGCAGAACATTATTAATAACATGCTTCAGTGAAGAAAAAGGTTCTCTGTGCTAGGAAAAACAAAGTGAAATGACATAATTTTAAATACATCATCTATTTAATTTTTATATCATCCCCTTTCACTTGTATTTCTGGACATCATTATAGCATATTAGATTGAACTGTATGAAATGGCCATTTTCAAAGGCCAAAGATTGAGCATTAGCAATTTAATATTTTTCAACCCATAAATAATAGCTGCACATGATTCAAAGTAAATAAATATGAACCTCCTGGGAGACTTTCTTGAAGTTTTTTGATAGATGAGGTGTATAATCAACAGAATTTGTAGACCCCTGTTTTGTCTCATGTTAAACTAGAAGAAAGATTCACTGACACGACAGCATTGGATGGGGTCTCAAGGGATGAATATGCTCTCAAGAGTTGGAGAAGGTTTTAAAGAGAGAGTGAGGGGATGCATCCTGAGGCAGGGGGTAGAAACCAGTGAGAGATATCTGCGTTGACCAAGATAAGAGGATATGAAAGTACATGCTGACTTGGGGCAAAAGGACTAATTCTCTTTGGCAGAAAAGTAGAGAGTAAAGAGACATTTCTTAAATAAAGCCTCTCCCCTTGCACCATGACCACTTCTCAAGTGGTCAGCAGGACAGGGGGCAGATGCTAATGGCATAATCTGACAGTCCACTTTGGGCCATCACACTGCTCATCCTCTATACGGTGTATCAGCAAGACCCGCCCCCTCCGCAAAGGCTTACATACGCAAGTGGTTCACTTCTATGGTGAGCCTCTGCTTTCTCCGTAAACCCAAGAAGTTTTGCACATTTATGTGGATAAGATAAAAAATACATTCCTCACTACTCTTCTGATATCTCTTTCCTCTGACCATCAATTTTCTGCCTTCCATCAAAATACAGTATGATGGGGATTTAGAAAGTCAGGTGTGAATCTGCCATTATTTCTGAGACCAGCTAGAAAAAAAACTAAATTTTGTTCAATACTTTTTGAAGGAAAGCAAAGTGATATGAAAAAATTTGCCACAGTGGCAAGAACCATCACACACACACATACACACACAGAGTGTGACAGAGAGAGATAAACCACTTTTTTGGTTGTTTTTTTTTTTTTTTTGATGTATTTCATTTTTATTGAAGCATACTAGATGTACCTATTTTCAGGACACATGTGGTAATTTAATGCATTCATAGAATTTGTAGAGATCAAATCAGTGTAAATGTGATATCCTTCACCTTAAATATTTGTCTTTTCTTTATGCTAAAAGCAAACTATTCTCTTCTAGCCATTTTGAAATATATAATAGATTATTGTAAACTATAGCAACCTTACAGATATATCAAACCGAGGGATAGCATTTTTTGTTGTTGTTGATGTAGAACTCATGTGTATAAGGTATTAGCTGAATGCATTCCAAAAGAATTGCTACCCTCTTTTTGGAATACAGATTGAGAGACTGAAAAAAAGCAGAAATTGTTGGATGTTCTATACATTGATGTTGCCCCCCGACACACACAACAATATACACACATGCATGTACAAAACCTCGTGGTAATGTGGCCTTTCACATCTTTCCCTTAAAAACGGATAAAACGTATGTCAATCATGCCCATTAATTTTACCCACTTATATAATAAGAGACAAAATGCTTCCTTAAAAACTTGACAATAACATAACTTACATTTAGTGAAAAGGAGAATCTTTTATCCTTCGTTTATTTTTTTTTTCCTTAATACTTTTCTATGTCTGGAGTACTTTATTGTTTCTAATTAGAAAGTGTAGTTAAATAATGGCTGTGCTTTTCTAAATTCTTCATGAAAAGCACTGATCAATTATTGAGTGATCTAGCCAGCTTCCTCTTGTTATCCATCCCTGAAGCAAGTCCAAATGCTTTGCCTATGTTATCCTAATCAGGTGCCACTACTAATCCCCTAGTGTCAACTAACAGCATACTCACAGGAATTAACCAGCCTCTCATAAGTTCCTCATAAAACCTAGCCCTTTGCCTTGATGGAGCAATGACCCTTGAGTGTCATAAGCATCCTGATTTCCTAAGAAGGCTTACATAGCGGACATGGGCATTCCATCCACCATTTACAAAGCTCAGGTTAGGCAGCGCAACTCAGAAAAGACACTACAATCACTGACATATTTGCTATTTTCAAATTACTTTAATGGCATGGTCTCTCATTTAACCCACACAGTCTCTTCGTGATAGAAGTATTGTTATTATTATTATAATTATTATTATTCCCATTTCAATTTTGTAAGTGGGGAAACTGAGAGACCAGAGAAGTCAGTTATCTGTGTGTGTGCCAAGAATCTTCAATAACACCACACAGCAAGGAACTGGCAGGGCTGAAACTTTCAACTAACCTTAGAGTCCTTCTCCCTCTCAACATGCCCGAAACTACAGGAAGAATCTTTCTAAAAGCAGCCCCCCAAAATCACCATCTCTCAGAATGGTTATAAAAATATTTTGAAGTGGAGAAAAAGGACATAATCTAAACAACTGCCACAGTGACACAGCAGAACAAATTTTCTACATCATGTATCAGTCAACTTTCAGTAGGTTATGCTGCAAAATAAATTATCACACAAATTCTAGTAGTTTAAATCAACAGAGCTGTTGCTCCCATTCCCATCCATATGAGCAGATTGCAGCTCTTTTCATATCCTTTTCATTCCAGGATCCAGGCTGAAGGATCACCTTCCATCTGTGACATGTCAGGATATAGCCAAAAATCAAACAGCAAGCATAGAACCATGGGGTGGCTCTCAAGATTCTGCTTGGACATTGCCTACATAACTCCCACTCCAATTCCATCAGCCAAAAATAAGTCTTATGGAAGTATCTGATGTCAGTACGGGGTGACATCATCTCCCTTCAAAGGAAAGGCCTCCCAGACAGACCCTGTGGATGTGGACCTCTTAGAGAGCGACAGCACGTAGTTTAGACAACTCAAACAATGTTTTACATATACATACTAAGTAATAGTATGCAGGCTTTTGAAAATGAAACATTAAGTCTCTAGTTAATGACCTGAAAAAATATTCATGATGAATATTGTTCTACAATAATCATCCATCTCCACCCACTAATATGTAAATTCCATGAGGGCAGAACTTTGGTCTGTTTTGCTCACAAATGTATCTTAACTACAGGCTGAAAAAAGCATAGATCATCATAAAAAGTTATTAAAGTATTGAATAAAGGAGGTTTCCTCTGAGTACAATTTTATAGTCATATTGATTTTGTGCAATATTTGAGTAATCTTTTGGTCTTGAGCGTTTTCTTATTTTTATTTTTGACCCATGAGATATTTAGAAATTATATTAAATGTTTAAATGTATAACTATTTTTATTTATGACTTAATTATATTGAAATACTTAAAATGATGTGTTTGCTAAAGAGTTTTTAAATTTGGGGAGTATTTTCTTTATAGTCTAATGTACCATGAATATTCATAAATACTCCTGGTATATTAAAGATAATGTGTATTCTTTAATTTTTGGATGCAAGATATCTTTGTATGTTAGTCATTTTATAAACTGCACTGTTTAATAAAATTTTCTATAGTCTTACTTTTTTTCTCAATAAATTATTTATTAAGAAAGTGATATTAAAATATTACACTATTAATCAGGACTTATACATGTATTTTTGTAACTATCGATTTTGTTTTATATATTTTCAGGTTATATTATCAAGTTTATACAAGTTTAAAATTGTTATAATTGCCTGCTAAGTTGAACCTTTTATTGCTGTAAGAGAATATTTATAGTAATACTTCATTTGAAATCTATTTGTCAGATACCTCTATAGCAACAATAGCCTTACATTGTCTCTTGTGTGCCCTTTAGAGCTTTTGTCCACATCCTTCCTTTTGACTTCATGTGTCAACATCTTTTAGATCAGTTTCTGTTAAATAATGTATTGTTAGATTAGCTTGTCTATCCCATCTGGAAATATTTAACAACTGGTAAGTTGTGTCCATTATTGTAGTAGGCCAATCACATAGTAGATCCTCAAAAAAAAGTTTGTTGAAGGAATAAATGAGTAAATAATTGTGTTTTTTTTTTTGTTGACTGATATATTTGAGTTGTAAATTTTATATTAACTGTAATTATATATGTGTATGACTAACACAGGTATATAGGCATTTGGATTTATTTATACTACTTTGTTTTGATTTCCACTTGTTTTTCTGATTTTCCCTATTTCTTGCTTTTTTATTAAAATAACATTTTATTACTTTTTACTCTACTACTCTAAAATGTATATACTGTATTTGTCTTTTTTTAGTCATTAATCTTTTTTTACCTAGTGAGTTAATAAAATATACACAATCTTATCTTTACAAATCTATCCTACAATACAAAAATCAGTTCATCCCTTCATACATAATTTTTAAATTTTGGTCGGGTGTTTTCATTTCACCTTGCTTTCTTCAAGCCAATATTAATTACTATTAGTGCTGGTTTGCAGAACCCATGTTGACATAGATTTGCTCACATCCTTATGGTTCCCCTCATCACCATTCACTGTGACTTCACAGGCCTTTTCCACGAGACCAGTTTTCTTCTTCAGGAGTACAAACTTTCACAGTTCTTTCAGTGATAGTTTGTGGGTGATAACCTCTCTACGTTTTCGTTCATGTAAAATATTTTCATTTCACCTTCACTCTGAAATATAATATTGCTGGGTACGAAATGTTACAGTAGTAGTTTTCCCTTCCGCACTCTGAGGAAATTTGTTCTGACTCCTGACTTCCACAGAGAAAGCTGAGTTGAACAGCCATCCTTTTAAATAATCTGACATTTCTCTCAGGTTGACTTTAAGACTTTTATCTTTATTTTTGAAGTACAGCAGTTTAACTACAGAGCATCTGAATTTGGGTTTCTTTTCTATCAAGCTAGCTACCTAAATCTGATGATTTGTGAATTTTATCATGAATTCCTTTTGAAAAATATTTCCCACTATGTCCTCTAGTACCCCATTTTTTCTGGAACAAATTAGGCTAAAGTTTTCCATTCTACCCTTCTTTTTTTCTACTTCTTCTACTTTACATCTCTTCTCTCTGTTCTGAACTCTTGGTAATGTCTTTCTGTCAAACCCTTGCACCGATTCCTTAAGGAATTTTACTGTCCTTTACGTTGCCTCAAATACTTTTGAATTTCAATGATCACATTTTCTTTCTAGAGGTTCTATGTGTTCTCTTAAAAACATGCCTGAAATGCTATTGGTAGTATTTTATTCATTTCTCATGGTTCTCATTTTTTACATTCTTTAACACTTTAAACACACAATTTATATTATGGGCTGGACACACCTGTAATTCTAGCAATTTGGGAGGCTGAGGTGGAAGGATCACTTGAGGCCAGGAGTTTGAGAGCAGCTTGGAGAAAATAACAAGACCCTGTCTCTACAAGTAAATAAAAAATTAAAAACTTAGCCAGGTATGGTGGTGTGTACCTGTAGTCCCAGCTACTCTAGAGGCTGAGGTGGGAGGATCACTTGAGCCTGAGAGATCAAGGCTGCAGTGAGCTGTGATTGTGCCACTGCACTCCAGCTTGGGCCACAGAGCAAGACCTTGACTCAAAAATAAAATAAAATAATGTGTATTATGTATACAACAATGACAAATCTGTAGTTCTAGGGAGCGTAGCTCTGTTGTTGCTCCTGACTTAGTCATGATGATAGATATCTTCCTGTTTTGCAGTTTGGGATTGTGAACTCAGCTTCTGAGATCCTTTGCCACCAAGACTCCTCAGTGGTCTGGACGGCAGACCTCCACAGGGGTTGACATTTGTCTCTGCCAGGAACCCAAAGGTATTATGAACCCCAGATGACTTGACTTTATTTCTCAGCTTCTCTCCTCCAGACTACAAAAGTAGGGTGAGGATAGGATCAATTTAAATTCAAAACACAAGTGAATCGGGCCTTTGGGAGCCTTTCTCCACTCCCACAAAGAAACAATCTTTCTCATTTTTCTCTTTGCTGGCAACCAGAATCTTTTTCTCTGGAAGGTCTTGGAGGGTTGTGGCCTTGTTCAAGAGGCCTCAGTTCCAATTCCCAAAGCCTCACTTCTTTTCTCAGTCTCTTGCTCTGTCCTTAGGCAGGTATTGGGGCTTAGCTTATACTTTCAGGCTTCTCATAGTAAACTAACCACTTAGGGCCTCCCTCGGCTGGTCCTAGCAAGGGTATGTTACCAATTTTTCTTATTTATTTGTCTGCCTCTAGGAATAAAGGGCATATCGCCTTTTCCAGGGGTGATTAGCTTCAGTTTTGTTTACCCTCATTTGAGAGCCAGCCTATGTTCTGTTCTTCACGCAGCTTAAAAAGGAATCGTGCACTTTGGATGTTAAAATAATAAATAAGTAGTAATACCTATTGGGCTCAGTGTTCTTCTCTTTTTCTCTATTTTTGAAATCTATACTTTATAGTCTATAAAACAGGAAGAGAAGACAGGTGACTGACACCTATCACCTCTGCCTGTTTCATCTGCTAACAGCTCTGAGGAATATGCAGCACTTTTTAAATCTCATTTTTCTTTTCTTTCTTCCTTTCCATCATTATCTGAAAGTGATCAAGAACTTTGTAGAGACCCATGCACTGATTAGATAAATCAGATTGTCCCTAGAAGGCAGAAGCAGCCTTCTGTCACTCAAGTGCTTGTGTATGCCATGAAGCACCTGTGTCCTTTCTTGCCCAGGTGATAAAATTATAGACATACAAAAGATCCTGATGGTTCCAGAGGGAGCAGCATGTCTAATGAAGAGATAGACAATTTAGTTTTCCTTTTCTTGTATTTACTGGTCAGCTCTTATGTGACAGGAAATGTGCTATATGCTATGGCTACAATCATAAATGAGACATTTCTTTCCCTCAAAGAGGTCATTGTCTGGTAGAGGAGGAATGCACATAAACACAAGTCATACAAAGTAAGCTTTGTGAGAAGGAAGGTTTTTCTGAGATCTGCAGAAGAGTTTCTGGAGGAGACAAAACCGGAAATAAATCTTCAAAAATAACTGAGAGTCAGTCCATTCCTTTACTTTATATGTATTTATTAATTATTGATTATGTGCTGAATATTAGGATAGGTCCTTGACATACATCTGTTAATGACAGTCATAGTTCCCATCATTATGGGCTGGCATGCTTTGACCATAATGATGTGCTGTGCTTAGCAGAAGTAGCACAGTTAAGTGTGTCTGAAGAGCTTTCACTTCCAAGTAATGTGTCTTTTGATTGGTCATTCTTTCTTGGGCCTCTGTTTCCTTTCAAAATGTCATATCCTCCTTTTTCTAAACTTAGTCGACTTTGGATTGGTGTGGAGAAGCCACCTCTGTTGCAAGGCAGGCACCCATCAGTCACTGTACTAAGAGCTCAGCATTGCTCTCTCCACATCTTTGCCTCATTTAGACAGTAATTGCAAACATTCCCATTGACTTTACTGGAATCTTCTACTTATTATCTCTTATAGAAGTATAGATACTATAGGTGGAGACAGGAAACTGAGGCTCAGAAATGACATATCTGACGTAACCATAGGTGCTCATAGATGGGGTTTGTTATAATTGTTTGGGGGGTTCACATAACAGAGAGAGCTACTGTGTTCTCTGCCAAATGAACTGTAAGTAACCCTGGTGAGAGTAGACTTATGCTATAGATATGAATGAGTGAATACAAAGCTAAAAGGTTACATTTCTCTTTTTGTTAGATTCTATGGTTTGGTTAGATTTAGTTCGCTCTCTAAAATTGCTCAGATTATAAACTTAAATGTAGAGTCGGGCACAGTGGCTCACACCTGTAATCCGAGCACTTTGG